TACCTTGTCTGAAGTACTTTTATCCATGTAGGGGAGCAGGGCCAGTTATTAAATGCTCGGTTGCATTAGCAGCTCGCATTTCCAAGCGCCACATGCAGTGTTTTGCCAGAAGCATATGATCAGGCCCCCAGTCCCAAGGACAAGGATGAGGGCAAAATCTGAAGAGCCCATGCAGATCCCGCAGCTTGCCCGAGGAGTGGATCTGCACCAGCACCTGGCTGTTATCACCCAGATTTGCCAAAGAGAAAGCTCAAAGTGCAACAGGAGAAGTGTGCTGGCCTCTGAGCGAAGGCACGGGGCTTCTTTGGGTCTGGCTTTACTCGGAAGGAAAAGGATCGAGCAGCTCGAGCCTTGGGGTTTAGGCTGGGGAGCAAGAGCAGCGGAGGGTGAGGATGGGCAGGATCATGGTTTAGAGCATGCATCCAGCTCCTCCTCAAGCATGGATTCCCACCACTGTTCGGGGCAGCCCACGGCAAGCGGCAAAGAAAATGAAGTCATTTTAACTCCCTTGCTCCTTTTTTTTTTTTGGTTAGAGTTCTTTCCAGTTGACACGGTGTTTGCAGAAGACCTGCGGTTGACTAGGCTTTTAAGGCCTCAGTTGAGATTTGCTGAGCAGCTACAGGTCCCACTGACTCCAGAGCAAATTGCAGCTTCTCAGCACATCTGGAAATGAGTCCATTTTCGCTAAAGATGGGCAATCAAAAAGGGAGGCACCCAGCATTTGAGGCTACTTTTGGAAACATATATATATAACTGATTTGCAAAGTGAAAGGAGGAAAATGATGCAGGCACCTGACAAGAGTATTTATTTTTGTTCATGGTTGATTTGCCTTTTTTTTGCCGTAATTGCCCAATTTGCACAGTTGGTTGTGGCGTGCACAAATCATCTTATAATTGCACACCATAATTATTCACAGTTCTTGTCCCAAAGTGTTTTCATTTGATTTTAGAGCAAACACTCTACAGAAATGAATCGGAGAGGTTCACATTCCTCACTGGAGCTGTTCTCTCAGATGTCAGCAGTTTCAGGAAGACAAAACTGTTTAAATCTGCATTTGGTTCAAGTCTGGAAGATTACTGAAGCAATTGGAAAGACTGCTCCTAATGAAAACTTGTCCTAAGAGCCATCTCACCTCTAAGCCACAGGCAGGGTTAAAGGAGAGCTCAGTATCCATTCCCATCCAGTCTTTGCTGTGCCTATCGAGAGTGCTAAGAAGGGTTTGAGTATTCAATTATCACCAGCTCTTGAGGGTGGTGTGCTTCAATCTGGGGAACTGAAATCATCAGCTGATTTCACATAAACCACCAAACAGCAATCGGATAGTAATGACTATCAGTCTCTTACAGGTGACATCCATTTTTACTTTTAAATTAGAATTTTTAAAAGTGTAAAACGTCTGGCTGAAGGCAGTGACTACAATTTATCAGCTCGCTCAAGTCCAAACAGAACAGATGGAACACAGATAAGTGAAGCAGACAGCTTAATTTACTCATGATCTCAACAAATTGAAACTGGAATCATTAACAAATAATTCTTTCATGGATTTTCAAACGGCTCTTTAAAAATGTACATACCTGCATTGTACAGAGTTGGACCACAATCAGTTTGGTGGACAGATTGTGTAAGTTTGTGATGTGCATTCATCAAATAGACATTTATATTCTAGACTCTTCAAGCTCCTCATCCAACAGTTTTTAGCCCAAGGCACTTTGTAAAACAAAAGAGTGGAACCTACATTGCACTTGTGTGCTGGGGATGCTTAGCTGGAACATCCCAATTCATAGAAATGCTTGAGCTTTGGCAGGTTATCAGATGCATATTTCTTTTACCCTCTTCATTTTAACTCAGCTGAGATTCAGGGAGTCCTTCCAACATTGTTAGAGCTCTGCTCCATGCTAGTGCTAATGCCTGTATTCATTTGCAGCATGCAAACACAACTAAATCAATATTACCTGTGGGGTAAGTCCAATGACTTGACCCCTTCTGTGCGGTGAATCCCAATGTTAACCTAATGCAGTTTGATTTCACTATTCATTTCAAGTGCTGCTGTCCAGGATAAGACAAATTTCTTTTTTTTAATTCTTGGGATTTTCCCTCTGCTACGGTTTCAGGGGGTAGTTTAAAATGTAAACAAATAACAGAACAAAGATACAATCAACAAAAAGTCCTCACCTCAGCATTCAGATCTGCTCCAGCATCTAGCAGCATCTGCACCATAGCCTCATCACCCCTGACACAAGCATACATCAGTGGAGTCATACCCTAGTCATTTTTTGGAGTTAAAAAACAAAGGAATTGACAAATTTAACACAGAACTCTCTTTGATTTTTTAAACAATTATTTAAGTATATATCATCAAGACTAACAGTATGTGTTTAATGAAAGCCATTACCTCCATTACAGACATGCCCCTCAGACTAGAAAAAGCCAACCATTTTTGCAAAATCTCCATTTTTGCTGTCATTTGTGTGGACTGGTTTGGGGTTTTTTGGTCTGTTTTTTTTTTTTTAGGTGTTTTGTTTTGTTTTGCGTTTTTTTAATGTTATCCTCAGAGTGGTGATTGAAACTAAGCTTGTCAGCCTCACCTCCATCTTCATATACTAAACTGAGTATCTTTGTCTTTGGGATCCCAGTACAGAAATGTTTTTATCAAAGCAACCGTATTTCCACTGGTATTTTAAAAAGATAATAATTCTTATTCAGTCTTCTATGATCATAATTTCATAAAATCTAACTTTTTAATTACTGAAAGAGCCTTTAAAAACATCCCAAGCTCCTCTTAAGATAGGTTAGATTTAGGCACAGCTTTTTCAACACAGATACTCTAAGGGGCTGGAAATGTAAAGGCTTTGTATAGCACTCCCTAGCAAACAACTACTTAATTTTAAATGAAATGCCAGACATCATTGTTGCAAGTTGTTGGCTCTAGGAAAACATGGCCTTGTTTGGATGAAAAGTAGATTAAGTGACCCTTCGCTACAGAACCACCACAATGCAATTTGTATTAATCCAAAATACCTGCTGTGGCTGATCACAATTTCCCTTAAGATAAGTATTACTGTGGCTGTGGTAATGAGTCCAGATGAAACCAGAAAAAAAAAAAAATCATTAAATCTACCGTAAATTATAATAGAAAAAGCTGCTTATTAAATACAGTAGGGGGTGTTGATCAACAGCCACCAGTTGTTTTGCAGTAAATCTACCACAGCACGCAGCTACCTCTGATGCATGTTTATAGCCTACCTCGAGGTCCCTAGTAAATTTGCTGTCAGATGACAGCCTGTTTGCTGTTTAACCTGAATGCTGCTGTGAAGTGCAGTTATTTTCAGAGAAACTAGAGGTGCCCTGCATGGCCAGACACAGAGCCATGACACCACTCTTCCTAGAAAGAGCCCAGTACCACTATTTTTGCTGAACTACCCCATTTTTCCTGTTTGCACATAGGGCTGAAGGTAGTGGGTGCTTATGTATGGAAGGGCTGCTCTTGCAGAGGAAATATAAATTAAGATTTGTCCCTGCAAGGTACTTAGATCCCCCCTGAAGCACACTGAGCATTTCACAGGAGTAAGGGAAGGATCTGCTGTGTACTTCTGGAGATACAAAGTAAGGGAATAGGCATTTGGGCTCTTATGCCATTATTAAGAAAAAACAAGTTGACCCCAGGCAAGGAGAGTTCTTGGGTGACTTGAAGTTACTTGCAAAGAGAATTTGAAACTACTTCAGCTACAGTCAGTGGCAAAACATTTCCTTTGGCAGTCAATAAACACTACGGGAACAAAGAGGACCATGAGAATTACAAAAATCTGTGATTGGGTCTTAAAACATGGGGATGGGATGGCAGTTTAAAATTAAATACATGTTCCTTCAACTATTTTTTCAATTTCTGTAAGTGGTGTCATTCGATAATTAAATCAAGTGTTTAGCAAAAGGGGTCTAATCAGATCTGAAGAAAAGAATTTAAAAACTCGGTGCCAGGGTTCGCAACTGCAAGATGCATCATGTGGGCAGCCACAGCAAAGAACCCGCAGCAACGCCCAGAGCACAGGGTCTGCCTGGGGACCACATGGGATATTTTGGCCCTGCTGAAGCTGAAGGACTTAGCACTGACTAAAAGGGGCCCAGAATGTCTTGCTGCAGTATCAGGCTTTTAAAGAGTTAATGAGGTTTCTAACCTCCCCTTCCCTTGCACTGCTGTCCCTACTGCTTTTGCCAGTCCCCCCCAGGCTCGCTCTGCAGCCCAGCCTTGAGCTGCAGCATCGCTCAGCCCCCTGTCTTTGCAGTGGGAGGAATGGATTTTTAATGAGCCCATCATTAGTGTTCGACACACACACAGGAACATGGTAACAACGTGTACAATCAACACAAAGGGCATTTGGCTTTTGGCAAAATAAAAAATTACTCTCTTTCGGCCTTGTATGACTTCGGGCTCTGTCCTGCAAGATGTGGGATGTTTGATCCAGCGAAGCATTTAAGCACAGGCTTAACTTTCACTCAAATAGGATGTAAGCATCTGTTCAGAGTTAAGCATATGATTAGGTACTTTGATGAATCAAGCCAGAATGTTCCCAGGTTTCAGCCTGGAGGACAGAGGAAATATGCTGTGAAAAGTTTCCAGGTTCAGACTAACTTAAAATAATAACTTTAAAAAGTATAATCTATGAACCTTGGAATAAGCATTCTGATACTATTTTATTTTGGGGAGTACTGCCATCTTCTAAAACTTTTTTCAAACAAATCCATAATATTGACTCAGACTGAGGCTACTGAACAGCAACATAACTCACATTCCTGGGGCAGCTTTCATCTCAGAAGACCTAAACCCACTAATAGTCCAGCTCCTGTCCCAAGCAATCACCTCAGGGGCAGCAGCCACCTGCCTTCTGCCAAAGAGGATGGCACAGCTCTGGAAATGTGCACTGACACCTTCATCAAGGGCACCAGAAAATTCAGGGGACTCTATTTCAAAAGGAAATGGTAGTATCCATAGCCATTGTTTCCTCCAGGGAAGGAGGAACCACCTTTGTGAGCATCATAGTCCAACAGACTGCTGCCAGTAGGTAGCTGCAGAGGCAGGTTTATCCCCAGACACAATCACCAGCCTCATGGAGGTGTAACTCCAGGGAAATTTAAGGTCCTCAACTGGTGGATGTTGGCCATAATGACCAAGGGAGGCATAACACTGCAGAGGTACTTTCACATCTGAAAGGCCAGTTCAAACCAGGCTGAACTCAATTAAAGAGTGCCAGCAATTAATCATTTCCTGCTGGGGGTTTGGTGGTGCACGTGAAATGCATTGCAGATCCCAGGGCAGCGTTCAGTGGAAAGATGTTCACCTCACAAAGCCCTGCCGCACACCACTGTTCATGGCACTGAAGCATTTTTAAGTATTCAGATCAGCGCTAACCTCTCTTGGGATCTTCTTCCGACTTCACTCAACTCAGTTCACTGTTAAGATTTCAGGGGATGCCTTCGCCCTCATGCTGTTACCTCAGTGCTAACAAAGCAATACAACTCGAAAAGACCAAACTTAACATAGATGTTCGTCTGGCAGTGCTTTAAATCAATGCAAAGTAATGCAGGAAAAGCATTAAGGTCCTGTCTATGTTTAGCTGAAAGCTGGGGCTCATTTTGTATGATAAGCAGACAAAACTCTCGCATTTCACAGTTGCTTCTTTATGCATCTATCTCGATACCTGTTCACTCATGCTGTTAATCCCATCCGGCCCCAGCAAGGATATGGCTTGTTTAACCAGATCTGTTCGGCCACAGTTGAGCATCCGGAAACCCAGGTCCTGCTTGAACTTTGCTTCAGTGGCAACTGCATCCAGTTTCCGAGAGGCACAAAAACAGTCGTCGATTCTGTGGACATGAGAAATAAACTCCTTCAGAGGACAATCAGAGGACAGGCCTCACTGTCTCTAGGAAAATAATACTTCGCCCTACCTTTGAAGGATGTAGGTCATGCACACATTCGTTCTCCTTTGACCTGTATGCTCAAGGGAAGTGCTGAATGGGAAATGCTAATGCAAGCTAATGGAGACTGCCCTTGGTCTATCTTTCATGGGACAAGTTATACATTTTATAAAAGATGGGGCAAAAAAGCACACAGTTTTCACTTGATTTTGTTTCTCTGTTTAAGCAATGCACAACACATTCTCACCACAAGTTTTCTCTCCTCATGGTGAGGTTATCCAGTCCCCCTGATCTCTGAAAAGTTTCAGTGGCTTCAGAAAGCTTTGAACTTACATCAAATGGATGTATAATCACTGACAATACAACAAAGAGAAAACAATGTCACTCCAAAAGCCTTCAAGGATGTTACCAGCACAGCCCCAGTAACAGGGAAGCCTTTTTGCAGCAGAAAGTGCAAGTTGCAGAATCCCAGACTGGCAGGGGTTGGAAGGGACCTCTGGAGGTTACCTGGTCCAACTCCCCTGCTCAAGGAGGGCCACCTGTAGATCAGGGCACCATGCGATCAGGAAGAAGGCAATCTTGCCAGCTAATCATGGCAAAAAGACCACAATTCCCTGCTAGCTGCATCTAACAGATCAGATGTTACTCTTTTAAGGTCTTATTCAAAAGATCTCCAAACTGTAAACTGCTCAAGATATCCATTTCAAATGGAAGAAGGGCTAGGAGTTATTTAGCCACAATGTAAATCTACAGCTCCAGAGAGAGCTAGCAATTCAAATCTGATGTTTATCCAACTTGGTTTCACGTTATTAAAAGACAGATTTGCTTTTCTTTCATGCTGAGGAGTGTCTGAGGCAGAGGGTGGAGTCCAAATCCAGAGTGCTTTTGGTGTGAACTTGGATAAATGACTGTTTGGAAAAACATCACTTTCGTTCTCAAAAAATGTGAGGTCAGAAAATGAGGGGCTACTTATGAATAAAAAACAAAATAAAGATCAAAAGTGAAGAAGTCAAATATACATCAAATATTTGCTTTCTGTTATTTCATATGTAAAAAAATGCAGCAAACCAAAAGTATAAACAGCACACCATTATCATTTAAATTTCATCTTCAAAGTGCTTTATCAAAGCTTTATAAAATATATAACACTGCTTAATATTTAACAGCAATATGCAACGACTATGCTGTTTATATAGAAGCAGTGGTATGTAGTAATAGCTACCGCTCTTTCTCTTTCAACAGAGGAAGGAAAGTGAGATGGAAAATATAAAGTATTTTGATCAAAGCTTCTGCAGGACTTAGTACTGAAACTGGCATCTGAGCTCAAGTTTTCTCTCTGCTGTGCTGGGCCCTGACCAGTCTGGAAGACAACAGATATTTTGTTCATGTTCATTCTATGTGCTCAGTTTGGGTTTTGACTGCTAAAAAGTTATGTCCTAAGAATGCAAACAAGGTATGCTTGGAGTATCATTATTCAAGGGAACAAGGATGATGCTCGATCACAACAGTATGCTGTAAGATTAATGCACAATACTCGGTCACAACAGATATACCCTAACAGCAATAACAGATTCTGCACCAGTAATATGCCTACAACAGAGATGAAGAAAGCAATGCATAGCAAGGCTGGGTTTTCTGCAGTAGTTTCTGAGCCAGTTTAAGGAAAAAGCAAAACCAGCACAGATATGCAGGGCTGAGCTCAATGACACCAAGATCCATGGGAGCAATTGCGGTTTAACACGTTCACATCATATGGCACATTTTGACACAAGAGCTACAACAACATTTGGTACCTGTTATCCCCATAGCATGAGATGCCAGAGATCATCTGTGCCCTCTTTTAACATACGGCAAAGATAAAGCATGCTCAGAAGTTAGGTGGTGGGGGTTTTGGTGCACGGAGGGGGAGTCTGGACCTCCCAGCTGCAGCTGGTCATTTCCAGATGATCCTGGGCTGAAAACGAGGTGGTTCTTCGGCAAAGTGCAGCTTTGGAAAGATCTAGACATCCTCTGAGGACTGCAGAATAGTCTGCCACTATGAATCACTGCCTGTGTTAAGTCACTGCTTCATCATTTGTACTGAAGTATATAACATACACTCTGAGTAAAATGGGTCAAACTTAGTGCTAGCAGAAACAGGCAGAGCTTCACTGACGTCAGCCCAGCTCGGTGCATGCAGAACGATAGCTGATGATCTCCTCTTGAAAAAAAAGACCGATTTTGACCTGGGTTGCATACCTACACAAGGGAGGAAGGAGGAACAAGGACCTATCCCACCAATCCTGCACAGGCTGCCCAGATCTCTGCTCTGGCATGGGTTCAGAAGTTACTTACTTCTCCATAAGTAACTCCTCCATGAGTTGGCTCTGATCCCCTAGAAGCACGTCAGTTCACCTGCTTACTATAGCCAAGGAAGGGGACTTATTAATTACTGCTGATACTGGGTATCAGCAAATTAGTGCTCCTCAATCAGCTGGGGGCATAAGGATCTTGGTCCAAGGGCTCCAGGATGCTATAGCTGCACAAACACTGCATCAATAACACGGATGCAGAGGAGTGCCGGGGCTGCACGGCTGCTAGGAAACCGGCACTGTCGAGACGTGATCCAGACCAAGTGCCACAAAGCAAGAAACCACAACTTAGTATCACAACCAGTGGCCTGCTACCTTTTTATACTCCAAAAATGACCCATCATGAGTGAGTTACAGCCCCAATTTATGGGACATAGCAAAAGAAACTACATGGCAAAATTTGACATAGATCATTGTTGGTGCCACCATTGTCATATGTTGACTAATAAAACAGATAGCGATCAAACTGGGGAGTTTAATAAAACAAGAGCATGACGCAAGGGAAAAGAACGGAGGATGCTTCAGAAGAGACAGTGTAGCAACATCTCGAAAAGCCAAAGAGATGAATGAGTTAAGGAAAAGAAGATTTAACATGCACAGATAAAAAGCAGTGAAGAGACAGATCAAAAATGATCAGGAACTACAAGTACAGAATAGGAGAATACAGCATCACTTTCAACACTGGAGAAAGCCAACTGGGAAGACAGTACAGCAGGCAGACCAAGCAGTCGTGTTTCAAAATGAAAACTGAAAAATAAAATAAAAAAAACCAAATCCATCAAAAATCAAGCCTAAGCCATCACAGCACTGCATTTTCTCCCAAGTGCTCTTTCATACCATTAACTGCATAACGTTGATTCCAACAGGAGGAGAGGGTCTCTGCTTCATATTACACTGTATAAGAGGATGCTCCTCCATCACGGACACCATCGAGAATCACAAATATTAAAGGATGCAAGATAAAAAAAGAGGAAGGGAATAGGCATCCAGGCTTGACTCGCTCCAGACTTCTTAAGCTTTGGACCGCAACAAATACACTGACAAGCTACGACGAGGTGGGAAAGGGATGGGAAGAAGCTTGAAAAATGAGGCTGACAAGGAACGGTTAAGTCAGCTAAATATATAGGGTCACTTTTCAGAGTTGTGAAACTGTGCCTGCAAAGCAAGGGAAGCCAGCGTAAGCGCAAACAGAGCTGGAAACCTCCTCAGCTGCACAGTCAGTTCACAGCCCTTCTGCCAAAAAGCCCTTGTGATCTTTCCAAACGCACAGGAAGCTGACAGGAGCCCCACGGTGCGATGTCCCCTCCAAGGCCACCTTGGTTTGTTGCCAGATTCTGCTAGCTGCCAACACTCACACAGTTCAACCCTTCCCCAAGACCTCACCCTGCAGAAAAGGTGTTTTTTCATTGAAGGGGCAGGGAAAGCTGATGGAAGGAGCAGAAGACCACAGGGGGCCAATGTTCTTCTCCCCTTCTTTTCCCTAGGGACGTTCTGAGGATGGCAGGACATTACCACCCTGGATGCTGGCTGGGTCAGGTGAACTTCGAGATCCCCCAGAGGTGACACAGTGACAAAGGCAGGGCTGACCAGCATCCTCTGAGGGTGATAACCTCACTCAAAAGCCTGAGCCCATTCTGGATTTCCCTGTTTAGCAACCCGTGGAGCTGGGCAGGCTCCTTGGCACCGCCACCACTGTACACGTGCTCCCACTCCCAGAACTGAGAAATAATATGCTTGAATTAATAACATACACTGATCACAGTCCGTGTGCTCAACAGCAACTCCACCCCTCTAATTCAGGGCTTCAATCACACAGCCTGAGAACTCCCAAACTGGTCCCTCTCTACCTTTACTCAAGCAAACAATTACCTTTATCAGTAAAAAGAAAATTAGAAACAAGCGAAATCTTCCTGATTTTATATTTGTAGCAAAGCTGCAACCACATTTTTTAACTTATAATGCAATACAATTTTGTCCAAGTGCTCTTTTAATTCCTCGCAAATATTGTTTCTACAGCAGATATCTTCAAGATTACCACAGTGCTGCCACTGTACATAATTAACTTTATTGTGGTTTTATATGGGGAATGCCATGTTAACATTAATTATTTGTAAATGGTCACTGTCCAATGCTGCACGGTGACCATGACACACTATCGTAATCCAAAATACTCAAACCTCTGAAAGGAATCAAAGATAATCTTCTTCACTTATAATGGGTCCTAGCAACACAGGAAATTATTTTTATCTTTTCCCAAACTCACATTATGAAAATATAATGCAGCACTTCTACAGCAACAGTTTAAATGCAAGGGTGTTTTTTTTCAGACTGGCTAAGATAGAGTCTGTGTGGATCTTTAATAAGTTACTCATGGATTGAATACATTTGGGAAAACGGATGATTCAAAGGCAAAGTGTTTCCATCGTAACTGGTAGACGCAGCAGCTCTCTTATTACATAGCTTTTTAATTATTTGTTCTTTGGGAGGGGATTATTGCTATAGTCAGTAGTGGACAATTAAAAAAAAAAAAAAAATGTTCTGTAAATGTTACCAGAAAAGAAGCAGGAACATCTTAATCATGTTCTAAGCTACACG